CTCTATATACTTTACTCTTCAGTAAGATAAGATTAGAGACAAAACAGGTTTTGCTTGCATGATTGCAAAGAGGAATATACATAAAGGCAAGGTAATACATAAGTGTGCGGATATCTGCAAAATCTCAAACCAACCATTTTATTTACTTTCTTTAATCATATCTGTATCTATCTTTTTTTCTAACTCGGTTCCAAATATCTAAGATTTGCCTGTATCTTTTGTTGTTGTTGCAATCTTTATCCTGTAAGTTCTCACTTCATACACTGCCAGCTATTAGCCATAACATCATATTATTGGTTTGAGGAGAGAGAAAAAATGTTGCTCATATGACCAATGTTAATATCTCTGATATGGACTTTAATAGGCTTTACCAAATTAAGTCTTTTCAGGAAAACTGACTGGCACAGAGACCACAACAATTGCTTGTATCACCTTGCGTATACCAAAGCCAGCAGAACCTCTATCATATATATCCCGCAATTTAGAGCTTAGGCCATTTTCTTATTTCAGAGTAAATTCCCAGAAGGTTTGCAGGATTTACTCTGCCTGCGGCGGAGGTGAGCACACACATGACAATTATGACAGGCTTGCAGGTCATGTCATTTGTTGCATGCCAGGGTATATAGCATCTTGTCGACACACATCATTACATCACTGAACGCTTCCTAATTCTTTATTTTTATTGGACAGTTAACATAACGTGTCGCTCTGGTTCCTGCATAAGTCAGTCTCTCTTAAATATTTTTTTTTCATCGTCAAAAAATCGTTCAAGAGCTTTGCAAAGAAACGAAATATCTCCTTTCTTCACATTCCCCTTTGCTGTCTTCAAATATATTCTTTGCCTCTAAATGACAGCTGTTTGACACGTTATCCATACTAGAACCTGATACATGATAAAGAAAAAACAACCAAATATCACAAAATATTCGCCAAAATAATTTAAACTCGTTATATCTTCAGAAAATTAAGATATTGTTACTTTGTCTTCCTCGGACTCGTGTCATATCCGGTGTATGTCAAGGCAAATACACTAGGAACACTTTAAATACGGGGGAATACAGCATATACGGATATATATCGAATAATATATGCTATTTTGACATTGCAACACACCTAAGGCCTCTAAAATATGCCTCACACCACGAAAACACCAATTTCAATCAAAATAAAGCGAAATATAGATTGACAATACCTCAGACTATTAGGAAAAACACTAAATCACAATTACACCGCCATAAATACCCAAATATATCACTAAAACGTATTTGTTTGATTTTTCTTCACCTGATTGTCAATCCAGTCCACCATGACCTCGCTCCTGCCGCGTCACAGAAGCCAATGGAGGAACAGTTTGTGCCGGCGGGCTCTAAGTTATTAATTATGGGTTGTGTAAAAAAGGTATATATATATATTATTATTATTTAGAGATTCATTAGGGATTATTGGACTATTCTGTGTTACTTCTTTGTGTCGAGATTTGTTTTTATTTGTGTGTGTGTCTGGTTGGTTTATTGTAGGTAAAGTTTCGACTTGTGGATTGTGACATAAAAAAAAGAAAAAAAAACTGATTCATACTAGTATTTCGTACTCTCTTCTCGTTTGGGATATATTAGATACTTTCGTATTAGATATAATTGATACTTTCAGCTATTTTGTAGATGTGTTTATAGTTATTATACCATCACCACTTT